GGCGCCCGCTGGCTGGTGGGCGTGAACGTGGACTCTCAGCATCTCAGTCGAGAGGAAGCATGTCTAAGAAGGGCCGGGGCAAGGGCGAGAAGGGCGAGAAGCCCGAGATGGAGACGGACGCGGTGCAGATGGCCAACGAGGAGCTGCGGGCCAAGTTGACCAGCATTCAGATCGAGTTCCAGCAGGAAAAGAGCAAGGTGGGAGGGGCGGGCCTCTGGGTCCATGGGGGAGGGCTGTGGCGGTGTTGCCCCCGGGTTATGTGTGGAGGGCGTGTTGCTGGGGTGCGGGGAGGGGCACTGTCCACCTCTCTGAGCCTCAGCCTGCCCCTCATTAAGATAGATCTAAATCAGAGGTGCTGGTACAGACACCACTTGGGTGTGAATCCCGCCCCCACCACACCTCAGTGACCTTGGACCAGCTACTTAACTCTCCCTGCCGCAATTTCCCTCACCTGCAAGATGGGGTCATGATAGTAACGCCTGATGGGCTTGTGGTAGGAGTTAGGAGGTGAAGAGCTTGGAAGGGAGCTTGGCTCTGTAATGGGGGCTGTTTTGCGTGCGTGTGTGTGTGTGTGTGTAGGGGGTTGAGCTTTAAAGCTGGTTAGTACAATGCCTTGTTGGGTGCCAGGCATACTGTAGGTGTCCAATGAAAAGGCAGCACGACAGGCAGCCTATCACAGTGGGAGATGCCCAGGCTTTCTAATCACACACACCTGGCTTCCAACCTCACCTTGGCCCCTGACTGGCTTCACCATCTTGGACAAGTGACATAAAGTTTCCAAACATTCATTTTCTCATCTGTAACATGGCGTCAAATAACCACCCAGCTTAAGGTCGTCATAAATATCTGATGGTCTGATGTCTGTGTGTGTCTGTGTTCTGATCTCTTCTTATAAGGACACCAGTCACATCAGATTAAGGCCCACCCCATATGATAACCTCTTTAAGAGTATTTCCAAATGCAGTCACATTCTGGGGTGCTGGGGGTTAGGACTTCCACATAGGAATTTTGAGGGACACAGTTCAGCCCATGACAGCAGGCAGCACAGTTGTAGGAGGTGGCACTGAGTTGGAGCCGGGCCTGTGGGAACCCCCACGTGTGCTCCCCCGTAACCAGGCTGCCTCCGTGTGGGTGGGCCCTGGCTGCAGATTGGGGGTCCCACCGATGCCGTCCTTCTGACTGCAAAACACTGGCAACAGCGACCCGAAAGTCGGGACAGTGTTGCCTCCTAGAAAGGAGAATGCTAGAAGCACGTAGTCCCTCACTGAGCGATCATGTTAAATGTTCACAGTTCTGGCTTCCTGGCACTCGGTCCACTGGGAAAGGACTCTGATTCCAGCCTTCGGGCAGGCGGGCCCGAGACGGACCCGTCCCTGGTTTTGTTCCTGTGATCGTGACTGTTTGATGTGAGGGGATGTTGAGCTTGTCTTTGCCTGGTTTTGCTTCTTTCCCTGCTGTTTGTTATAAATGAGGATTTATCGACACCCAGCTGACATTGTGAGACGCCTCACCTGAAATGAATTCCAACATGTTGATAGGCTACAAACACTGGGGTCTGTGGAAAATGCTGACATTTTCCACGGAAGCAGCGTGTCTGTGAGAGGCCAGGTGCTTTGGTTCTTGGGAGACTGGTATTTTTTAGAAAACAAATGGATTGGAAAGCGTTCCTGGGGAACGTGTGTATTGTGCGATGTGTGAAGTGAAAAGGTCAGATAAAGCATTTGCGAGTGTATTAAGAAAACACTCCCTTGGCACATTTTACAAATAATGTTTTCAGTTGTTTGCTGATTGCATGAACACAGTCAGGGTCGGCAGCCTGGCATCTGCAAAACACCAGCTCNTGAGAGGAACATCCCGGTGTCCCCAAGGCTGGCAGGTGATGATCGACTTCAGTTCAGGGTCATTGAGTGTTTCTAGGTTGTCAGACACGCTGGCACCGGTGGGACCCCCACCTCAGCCCCCTGCCCCAACCTCCCCAGTCTGTCTCTCCTGGCTCCCAGCTCTCACCCCACAAAGCAGTTCCTGCTGAGGCCACTGACCCCACGTTCCTGAATCCGATGGCCGATTTCCCATCCCCGTCTTGACCTCTCAGGAGCTTCCTCTGTTGACTCTTTCCTTCTAGGAGCACTTTCCTCGCTTAGCGTCCCTGGTCTTCCTCTTTCTCCTTGTATCTACAGACGTCCTGTTTGTGCTCTTCCTTGCTGATTTTGTCCCTTCTCCCTGACCTCCAAAGGTTGGCCTTCCTCCACGCTGGAATGTTCTCGTCTCACTATGCATTCTCTGCCAGAGCGATCTAATCCCAGTACCACTACTTACTAGCTGTGTGGCCATAGGTAGCTTACTTACCCTCTCTGTGCCTCAGTGTTCTCATCTCTACGATGAGCCTAATGACTATACCTACCTCTCCAGGTGCTGCAAGGATCATATACTCCCCAGCTCCCATCACAGGACTCGGCACATCAATAGGTGCCTCGTAACTGTTTTTATTGTCACTCACTGATTTGTTCAGCGAATGCTCATGTAGCACCTCTTGCATGCTGGGCTCTGTTCCAGGCACGGGGACTCAGCAAGGAACGGAGGAGACAGAATGAGGCCCCACTTGCTTGGAACTCCCATCCTAGTGTAGGGGAAACAGACAAGAAATAATCATTATCTGCTGTATCATGTGGAGAACAATATAAGGCAGAGAGAGGGCAGAGGCCAGAGACGGGCTGACGGAAGCAGAGCAGTGTGGGCTTCTGCCCCTGCAGTGCTGAGCTGGTTGTCTGGGCTCAGTCCGGCTCAGCACTTCAGCTGTGGATCTTGACAGGGATAACTCTGTTTCCTCGCTTTGGCTATGTGACGGTCATCAGCACTCAGCCTCTGTGGACCTCGGTTTGCCCATCTGTGACACCAGGTACCTCGTAGGGCAGCGAGCGGGGATATAGTTATGGCCTCCAGTATGCGCTGGTACTAGCTGTAACTCCAGGCCTGACTTCGAGGGCTTTGGCGTGCCACCCTGTGGGCTCTGAGGACAGCTTAAGCAAATTGAAGGTCTGGGGGTCTCTTGGGAATGTGAGTGGAGGGGCCGTTAGCTTATCAGGGACACCCCCCAGTGATCAGGTGACCAGCTCGGGGCTGGCCAGGCAGGGACAGAAGCCTGCAGGGACCACAGGGTGCCATACTTGGCTGTTCCCTCCTCCAGTGGCCTTCACTGTTCTCCCGGCCTGGCTGAGGCACCTCCGCTGGGCCCAGAGCTAGCGGCTAGTCTAGGGGGCCAGGGGGTGGGAACCACTAACCTTTATGAAGCCTAAAAGCTCAATTTTCTGAGTGTGGGCCTCAGACCCTGCTCCGGAATCACCTGGTAGAGCAGATGGGGCATCCGGATTCTCTGGCCACCACATCCTCCCCCAGGGACCTGCCTTTCGACACAAGCACCCCGGGTGACTGAGGCTCACTGGCGTTTGCAGACTGCNGGAGCACCTGCTCAGCACCAGGCACGTAGTAGGTCCAGGAGCACTGACTTGGCCAGTCCAGTCCTTGCCCCGATGGATAGACTGTTCAGAGAATGGAAGCTCTGGGTGGGAAGAGATTTCTGGTTTGTGTTCCCAATGCCGAGAACAGCGTCCAGCAGAGTCGAGGCTCGATGATATTTGTTGAATGAATGAATGATTGGACGGAATGAATGAATGATCGGGCAGAACAGGTCAGTAGGCGGTGCCAGCCCAGTGTGGCCAGGGCGGCCGTGTCAGAGGGAAGCAAGCACAGCTCTGGGTTGGCTGAAGCAGATCGTGGCAGTTTCTGAGGCAGGAGGAGAGAGCCCAGCTCTCCGGGCAGAGGGCGGCACGGGGGCAGAGGGCAGCACGGAGGCAGAGCGCGCGCCTGGGGGATGTGGGAGAGGGGGGGGCCGAGTGGAGCGGGGAGAGCGTTCAGAGAGCTGGGTTTCAGAGGAAGTGGAGGCAGATGGTCAGGCTGCAGGTGGCAGGGATGAGGGGCCCCGGGAAGGACTCCAGGGGGCATCTGGCCGGTAGCACTGCCTGAGGGGGACGGGCGGCAAAGCGAACGGAGAGGGAGAGGCACGTGGCCCCGTGTGTGCTCGCGCGAGTTGGGGTTTTGTCCCGCAGACAACGAGTCCATTCTCCTTTCTTTCTACTTGAAGAAGCACATTCACCACCAGCTGGGACGCCCTTTGTGGAGACAAATTCCCAGGCCACGGATTTGATCTGTCTGATTTCGATATTTAAACCAAAGGCATGCCCTTACCCTGAGACATCTATGTAAGGGCCAGTTAAAGGTCTGTTGATAAAATGGGGTAGGGCTAGATTCTTTAGGATAAACTCTGTTTTATGCTCACAGAAAGGATGTGACGCTACACATTTACCTCCAAATCTCTGGTAAGGCGCCTCTTGGGGTCTCCACATGGTTTTTGGTGACATGAGCAGGAAGTATTGCAGAGACGGGCCGTTGGCGATGGGCTGGAGTGTCTGCTCATCACACGGTGTTTGGATGTTAGTTGTCTTGGAGTTGATTTTACTTCTGGACCAGCATTTTGTGAACCCCGTTATAAAAATACCAGGCCGTGTGGGGCGCAGGCGGGGAGCCACCCTGGAAATCCTACCATCTAATAACCAAACAATTTCTGGGAACTCACGTCCGTTTTCCGAGCCTCAC